CACTAATTTTTCTCTTTCTTTCCCTTGCTTATGAGCCACAAATTTCGGTCAAGCTTGCTGCCAAGAGAGAAGATATTTTGCTCAAGTTCAATAAATTTGTTTGGTAAGCAAAAATGGTGGTCAAGTGGTGCGTTCAAACGGTAGTACGCGGGACCCGCCGGTTCGCGCCGTTTTTCTTAAAAACTCACATACTAGGGTTTTTACTTCCCATTCACTAACCTTATATCATTGCTACCAATCACATATTATTTCTCACTTAAAATTCACTTTTAATCCTCAAATTTAATCCTTACTCTGTACCGAAAATTCATCCGGCGAAAAATCGCGAAAACCCTAATTTTGCTCCAAACTTGAAACCGAAGCGTAAAACCCTATTTTCTAGGTTTATCTACACTTAATGTGAAATATTTGGGTAGTGGCCTTTGGTAAATACTAATTTTCAAATAAAAGGGTATTTTTGAGGAAAAATACAAGGAATTTGCGAGTCCTCACATTCTCTCCTCCTTAAAAAATTTCGCCCTCGAAATTTTACCTTCAGTTGCCTCAGACGAGTCCGGAACTTGTCGGTTGTCTAAAGCAAATACACAAATACATATCAAGTTGGACAGACAACCATGTACATACAGGTATACTAACGTCATGTAGTAACAATATACAGGTAAATCAAAAGGAAAAGGTGAAGTCATCCCAGTATCAGCCCGTTCGGTCTCTCACGTCACTTACTATCCCAACTAGATGTCCCTGATCTCTTGTGCTCATTCTAGTCAGACAAGCCTGTTCATGTTCCCAAAATACAAGTCTCAAGTATTTAGCAGCACCTCAACTATAGAGTACTCAGGCACGAGAATCCGAAATAAGATAATTCACATCTCGAGCTGCAGTCCCAAGAGTAAACGATCTACAATCGGAATTCCTACCTGACATACCTATCCATGGTCCTCAGATACCATTAGAAAGATTTAAGGCCTATAACATTCGCAATTCATAGCTTCACTAAGTCCCTCATACTTATTCACCACTTAGTCCAGGGTCACTCCACGTAGAAACCACGCGAAGCAACTATAAATTTTATCTCTCAATCGCTTAACTTTCAAGTCCAATCAAATCCCACAGTCCGGTATCCTAATCTTTAATCTAGGATAAACTACAGAGATCTGAAGCCTAACCTCTGATACCACTTGTAACGACCCCACCTCCCCCTAAGGCGTACCAGAGGGTTCGGCGGGCCGCCTGTCCAGCTCTCGCCGGGACTCAGTCGTTCGCTACAGTTCTCAATTAAAAATTGAATTAAATCACTAGAATAAATAGGGCATTGATCCAAACTTAAAGCGGAACTTATATACATTGCCAACCCAAAAGAGAATATAAACATCAAATATACAAGGGTTCTCAATCCTTCATACGTCCAGCCCGTGCCAAGCACTAGGCGAGAACCGCTACAAAAGAAACAAAACTAGATTGGCTAGTCTATCTCAAGCTCACGTCCTCGCTCGCCTTCCCCTGTAAGGAAAACAAAACTAAAGGAATGAGCTAAAAGTCCAGTGAGGTTCCGAACACATAATCAGATAATCAATCCAATACATTAAACATGGAGTATCAATAATTCAAGAAACATTTACAATGGAAAGCGATAGTAACACATTCATTAAAAGGATACGGCTCACAAGGAGCAATTCGTTATTTCGTTCATTCGTTCTCCTGACATTTCCCCTTATTCCTCCAATCATTAGAAAATGCTTTTTTCGTTTATCAATAAACCCTCGTTCGTTCGTTCGTTCGTTCGTTCGTTCATTCATTCATTCACCCCCGTCCTGGCCGTTGGCCAGTCTCCACCAACCTACACGGTAATACTCGAGTATACCAAACGTTCACCCAAGTCCCTAATCGCCCGACCGAGTCCGCTTCTGGCTCGAGACGACCGGTAACAAGGGCAATGGCCAGTTCAGCCCAAAAGGCTTACATTCATGCGCAAGTAACATTTCAATCATTAAATCCTTGAAAATTGCACAGTTATTTAGGTCGAGTGCGATAAAGTACACACTCGCCTAGAAAGCTCGTTTTGGAAATCATTAAAAGCAATTAACACATTAGCAAATGATAACAACAAGCCATAAAGTCAAATAAGGAACACTCACCTAGATATGCAAAATAACATGCAAAATCCTTCCGGATATTACCCTTAGTCACCAATGAAACCTAAGGTTGAACAAGAGAACATATTACAGTTTATCGAGCAAAACATTTAAGGGAAACGAAGATACCCGACTAATTAAGAGTAAAACGTGTAAAGATGACTTTCAAGTAAGAAGAGGGTTGTTTGAACCCAAGGATGAAAAATCATGTTTTAAAATGGAAAACCGGTCATGGTATTGGCCTAACAAAAGTATACAAGTTCAAATAGAAACCTAGACCTCGGGCAAAAATTTGGGCAGCACGCCCTTTGTGTTTACCTAATTTTCCAGCCATTTTGGCTTCATTATTTTTCCTCAACCACAACCCAACATCACACATAAGCAATTCAAGTCAAGAGCCGTTCCATAGGCTCACAATATCATAAGAATAAGAAATACAGTAATAACAAGTGCAGAAATTCAATTTAGCAAAAGACAGATTTGACGTATGAAAGCGGAAATAACGTATCCGAGGCTACGCTTATCGGATTAAGACGTAACCTATGCCGTTTCGAAGGTAAGACTCAGGGTTACAATGTTCATGAAGGTCACTTAGTCCAGTTTCTAATGTAACTTGGTCAAATTCTCGAATTACTAAACTAGAAACCAATTCGTCGGCTGTTTAAACGCAGAACACTGTAATGGACATAACTCAGAGTACACAAGTCCGAATCAGGTGTTCTTAGAGGCATTTGAAAGCTAATTCAGAATACTAAAACTTTCATGTTTTGGAAAAAAGCTAAATCAGAATGGATCCTAGTCGAAAAATGTGATAAACTGGACTTAACTGATCACACGGACTGCTTGGGAAATACTTAAAACAGTAAGGGTATTTCGGACTTTTCATGACCTACGTTGCTCCGATTGAGCTGAAATTTACAGGCACCTACAAAATACCATTCTCTACAACTTTCCTTCTTTGACCCAAGGCCAATTCGGCCTCTAACATGCAGTTACCAAACCGGACAGAATGGAAGCTAGAATTTCCAGAAATCTGAAATTTGTAGTTTCTAGTGCAACTTTCCCCAATTTCTCACTTCTCACACTACCAAAACATCTTATACAACATTAATTGTAACATACAAGCATCATACAACAAGTTGGGCAGAATTTTCCAAACCCTAGTTCATCATATAAAGAGGGAAAAAACTTCCAAACATGCTAGCATACATGATTCCACTACTACTCAAGTTACTAGACTTAATTTAACCAAGATTGAAAGAAAAATTTAGAGAGATATCATCTTACTTACCTTAATATGAGTTCTCCAAGTGTAGCCCAAGCCTTCTCTTTCCAAAATTTCACCACCAAACACTAGCTAATCAGTCAAGGAGAAGTTTAATCGGTTTAGTTCTTTTGATTTCTCACTTTGTAGCTTGAATCAAGAAGAAATGAAGAAAGTTCACTCTTGTTCTTCTCCTCTCTCTCTCTCAGCTCCCTTGGCAGAAATATGAAGAGGTATGAAGCTAAGTTGTCTTATATTAAAGCCAAAAGATTAGAACTAATGGTGTCCACAAATTGCCCAACACTTGGCCTAATCTTGGCCACTAATTTTTCTCTTTCTTTCCCTTGCTTATGAGCCACAAATTTCGGTCAAGCTTGCTGCCAAGAGAGAAGATATTTTGCTCAAGTTCAATAAATTTGTTTGGTAAGAAAAAATGGTAGTCAAGTGGTGCGTTCAAACGGTAGTGCGCGGGACCCGCCGGTTCGCGCCGTTTTTCTTAAAAACTCACGTACTAGGGTTTTTACTTCCCATTCACTAACCTTATATCATTGCTACCAATCACATATTATTTCTCACTTAAAAGTCACTTTTAATCCTCAAATTTAATCCTTACTCTGTACCGAAAATTCATCCGGCGAAAAATCGCGAAAACCCTAATTTTGCTCCAAACTTTAAACCGAAGCGTAAAACCCTATTTTCTAGGTTTATCTACACTTAATGTGAAATATTTGGGTAGTGGCCTTTGGTAAATACTAATTTTCAAATAAAAGGGTATTTTTGAGGAAAAAATACAAGGAATTTGCGAGTCCTCACACGAACTCCGCCTCGTTGTCCTCTACTATATCCCTCTCCTCTCCTCCTTCTATCTATCCCGCATCCACTCCTCCTCCACCACATCCGCTATCTCCCCCAACCCTAATCTCGCCGGCTTCGAAGCTGTCCTTCTTGTCCTCTACTCATCTGAAGTCAAGGCTCATTCGGGTATACCCGTGCTCATTTCAATCCCTGATCTCTCTCAACCTTCTCTTTATCACTCCTCTCGAAATTCCCCTTCGAATAAATCGAACCCCATTAACAATAACCCCTCGTCTCGGCCTCTAGTCGGCGTTCTATCGCCTCCTCTCGAACCCCAGATGGCGGTGAAGTCTACTAAACGAGCTTCCATTGTAGGCATTGCCCTTGATTGTTATTATAAGCAGATCTCGCAAATGCCCAGTTGGTCAAAGCTTGATTTTTACAAATTTTCGGCAGATTGGGCAAGTCAGGATTGCCCTTGTAAATCTGATTTCGATGATTTTACTACCCAAAAACCTGATAATTTTACTGAAAGTAGCCATGGGCTTTCGGGTGACTCGAGGGGTCACAATGAGATTGAGGATGTTGTGAAAGATATTCGGCATTTGCGAAGTGAGGGGAGGGATGACGAGTTGCGGTCACAGGGGGTGAGAATTCCGCTGCCATGGGAGTTATTACAGCCGGCATTGAGGATTTTGGGGCACTGCTTGCTAGGGCATTTGATTACAGAGGATGTGAAAGCAGCAACTTCAGTGGCAATAAGGAGCTTGTATGCTGGGCCTCCCATGACCTGAACCCGCAGGCCATTTTGGCGACTAACAGTCTGATTTAGCTAGATAACAGGGCACGCGAGGCTGTTGCTGCAGCTGCAGCTGCCAGTGCTACCTCCAATGCTAATACACCCAGTAAGGCTAAAAAGCCTGAGATCCTTTTGGTTTCTAAGTGATATCAAAAGTGAATGAGATAATTTGCTTTAATTCTTGAATGTGAGTTTGTATGTGGAATTATGTAGGTATAGGTGTAGATTATACGCGAGTAATGAGTAGCTTATTTTGAACTTGGAACTCAGCCTGAAAGTTGTGTATCATTATTACTGTGATATGAATAGGTGTTCCAATTGCTTATATTTGGACTTAAAAAAATTATAAATAAATAAATCGAATGAATATGTAAGTTTTGATGATTATGTAGTGCTCTTGGAATATGTAGTTGTAACGTAATTAGGTACAAGTATAGATTAGTATCAAAATTAAAAGAAGAAAACATATGTTTTATATGCAAACATTTTCTTATAAGAACTACAGCTACCATTTTATTCATTGTCTTCGAGCTTATAATGCACATTATCATTTCGTAGGGACATCATTGGTTTGTTATTGTCTTGCAGCTCATTATGCTGATGCTATTGGTCCCTGCTATGGAATTCCCAATTATTGTGATGTTTGGGTAAGTATATACTCCTTTCTATCTATGTTAGACTTGTTTCAAATGGTTGGGTCTTGTCAACAAAGTTTCTGTAAAAGTGACAATTTTCACTTTGTTCTAGGAGACATTTGCATATAAACAAGCTACAAGTGGTCTCTGATTTGTGTTTGATTTTCCTGCCAATTAATGAATATGATAGGAGTAATTTTCTTTTCCTTCCTTTTGGAAGTTTTTGCATGGTTTAGTTGAGTTGTTTGTGTGAGAGTAATTGATTCAGCTTCCTTTTTTTTGCATTATTGTTTGCTGACTTATTGGCCAAGAGGGCTCTCAATTAGTTTTAGGACCAAGAATTCCTTCTATAGTTTTCTAGTGCTAGTATTAGCTTCAAGTTAGCTTCTTAATGTCTCCTGCAGTCGACTGATTTTTGTTATTATTTGCAGCAATTGAACCTGTTGACAGAGGCTTCGGATTCGGATTTGGGTCTAGGATATTACAATCTACCAATCAAGCTACCATTTTCGCTTGTGGTACCCTTATACTCTCTATCTCCTCTCTGCTTCTTTTTTTCTGTTATTTATAGCCAATCCAATTCACTATAAATTTATACTTTCTAAATCATCCTAAAAATTGAAATGTTGCTATACAGCTACTAAATGCACTATGTATATAATGCATATGTAGGTGCACAGTGGTTAATGTGATTTAATAGCTAAGACTAATTACTATGATTTTTTTTGTACTTTTTTGTGTTCTTGCTCCAGTTCATGACAATCTCAAATATGGCTGTGTTCCATTTTGTTTACTTTTCATTGTTGTTGTTTGGGAAGATTAAATTAACTGCCGTGTCTTCATTATGTTACTTGCTGCCCTTTTATGGACAACAAGTGATTTTGCAGCATAAGCCTATTTTCAACTATATATACTTGTCTAAATTGTGTTATTTTTGTAAATGAGACACTCTTGTAATTTTCCAGCATATATGAGACCTTAAATTGTGACTAAGGCATATTTATTATAGATACAGTGGCTGTTGCGATTCAAAAATAGCATAAGTTATTGAACCTTAATCCTTGGTCTGTGACAATATTAACATGTAATTTGCCAAAGAATTTAGTAAATGCTTGTTACTTTTGTTTTTTTATTTAGGAAATTTGAAGGCTGTTATACGTCTTTGATATTAAGAGTTTTCTTTGTCTGTGACAATACTTGGTTTTTACTCTCTATAATTGGTTCCTATGTGCATATTAAGAGCTATCTTTGCTTTTATTTTGTCTCTTATTCTGCTCTTTATGTAGTCACTATTTGGATGAGAGTTTAAATAAATGAGACTTTATTTTTTGTGAATCCTCATTTGATTTTCCTTGTCTCAAGTTTGTTTTGTCATCTACTAATAATTGTATTTTTCTATTGCAGATATATTGCACATTTTAGAGTTTTGGAAGATGAGTAGCCGAGGCTACTTATTAGCTCAAAAACTGGTTATAGTGCTATCTTATGCTTAGGAAATGTTTCGTATAACACAAAAATGTTTTGGGACTTGGATTCGTTTTGTACTGCTCCTTTGCCTTATATGATACAACTCATTCTAATACTACTTGTCAAACTCTTTATAATGTGATGTTGCACATGATTATGATATTGGAAGGATTATTATAATATTTTGGCATTTTCTATTGTAATGGGTGAATGTGTTTGTTATTCATTAAGCATTGTTGGTGGCTCCCATTTTTTTATATTACTCTGGCAAGAAATACATCAAACTACACAGTGACAAGATATTGTAAATGAATCACATTTGTCCAATGACAAGTGCCTAATGTCAGTAAATCAAATGTCTTTATTGACAACAATTGTTGTAATTGAATTAAATTCTATATTGACGACAATATGTTGTCACTGTTGAAAGGTGTTTAGTGACAACAAAATTGCTAGTAATTGGACCATATACTGATGACCATTGTTGAGTTTTAGTGACGATATTGTTTCATGCATCATTGATAAGAAGTCATGTTGTCACTAAACTTAAAGCATTTATTGATGAGAAAAGTTGTCACAAAAGATCTTTATTCACTGACGACTTTTAAGTCATCAATGTATACTTTTACCGACGGGCATTTAGTGACGACCCTGTGATGACCGAAAAGTTGTCAGTAAAATCCATTAGTGATGACTTTTTATTTTTTTGTGACAAGAATAGATTGTCACTAAAGGTCAAATTTCTTGTAGTGTTTAGTCCGCCTTAGGGGGAGGTGGGTCTGTCACAAGTGGTATTAGAGCCTAGGTTTGAATTGGCCTGGGCGTGTTAGAAATGCTCGACTTGAGGATTATTTTGATTATGTTCCTTAAGGTTATTTACATTTACTTACCCTTTTGGTGTAGGATGGATGGACATAGTGGGCCTAATGATAGCCCTGCTGGTGAGCGACCGCATGGGGTGCTTCCGGTAATTAAGTACCAGATCCGGCCAAGAGGAGCCGTCGTACGGTGGAGTCCGGCGAACTGCCTCCGACGTTGTGAGTGCTATCACACTTACGCCTACCCTAACACCTTAGTGTTGGCAGAGGAACGGAAGGAGTTTGTAAAAGATAACGCTAGGCTTGAGGCTGAGGTGAACCAACTGAGGGCGGCCAACGAGAAACAAGCTGAGCGCATCAAGGAGCTAGAGTACGATGTGATTGAGGGAGAAGATAGGGTGGATGACCTGTGCGCTCAACTTAGGGAGGCACGTGAGCGTATGACTAAGCGAGCTTGGAAACTTAGGGTTCGAGCCGAGTCGATCCTGAACCTTTGTGACGACCTGCTCGAGGAGGAGAACGACGAGGCGTCGTGCACAGGGGGTGGGGCAGGAGGTGAATCCACCCCGTCGGGTGGGTTCACTAGCCCGACGATGGACTAGGCCGTACTTTTGGGGGGTTTTTTGGAGGTTTTTGACTATTGTATATAGGATGGATAGGGATGGATAGATCTGGGAAAGAGCGTTAGCTAGCCGTTTTGTACGTTTGGACTCGCAAGGTGTATATTACTTTTGATAGTGCCTTTCTCTTGTGGACTGTTTTATTGTACCTAACTTGACTGCTTGATGATATGTGCTTTGTTTGACTTGTTTGGAATGTATATATATGCTTTGTTATTAAAGTTTTGGGTTCTTATTTACCGGTATGGTTACTTATTGCTCTAGTTACGTTTGCTTAGATTAATAGATATCATGGAAGGCACACGTAGTGGACGGGGACGTGGGCGTGGGAGTAGGTAACCTACGTCAGACTGGAGTGCTGGGGAAACCTCATCTGGACCTAATCCTGAACCGAGGATTGACCCCAACGTGCAAATAGCTGCCGCTATGCAGCAAATGACCAATCTGCTGGCACAAGCGGTGCAGCAACAAGGCCAAAACCCGAACCATAATCCTGGAAACCCTGGCAACCACGTCGAGAGCGAGGACAGAGCTCTCGAAAGATTCCAAAATTTTGCTCCACCCAAGTTTATTGGGGGCCCGATCAGGATATAGCCGAAAGGTGGTTCAAGAAGATGGTGGATATTTTTACGACCCTACACTACACCGAGGAAAGGCAGGTAACTTTTGCTGTCTCTCAGCTAGAAGGGGCGGCCCGTTCCTGGTGGAATGTTATTCGGCAAAAATGGGAACGGGAACAAATGTCCAGAACTTGGGTGAACTTTATGCGGGAGTTCAACGCAAAATTCTTCCCTCCTCTAGTTCAGGAGAGGAAGGAATACGAGTTTATCTGACTTCGTCAAGGGGCCCAGTCGGTAGCAGAGTACGAGAGCCAGTTCATCCACCTATCCAAATTTGCTCCTGAGCTGATCATGACTGAACAACATCGAATAAGATGTTTTATCCAGGGTCTGAACGTAGAAATTCAAAAGGATCTTGTGGTGGCCCAGATTAACGCTTTTAGCGAGGCCGTCGAGAAGGCACAACGAGTGGAAAGCACTAGATTCCAAGTAAGGAACTTCCAGGCAAAGAAGCGAGGCTTTCCTGGGAGCAGTTCAGGACAGGGGAAGAAGAGTGCTCCTCCCAAGTACGGACGGGGGTCTGGAGGTGGACGATAGACGGAGTAGGCAGAGGAACTCGGTCTAGGGGTGGCCAAGCTGGGCGAGGCCAAAGAGGAAAGTTTCAAGGAGGCTCAGCTTTAGCACCTCGCGGTCCCTGTGGGCATTGTGGGAAGCCAAACCACACGGAGGATAATTGCTGGAGGAAGAAAGGGAAATGTTTATGCTGCGGGAGTGCAGACCACCAATTGGCCACTTGCCCGGTCCTAAAACAAGATGGAAGAGGGAGCCAACAATCGCCGAGGACCAATTCTGGATCAGCTAAAGGAGACGGGACAAAACCTAAGGTCGCGGCTCGGGTGTACTCGTTAGAGCCCCAACAGGTCCCAGACTCCTCTGAGGTCGTGGAAAGTACGATCCCTGTATTTCACCGCTTTGCCAAAGTTTTAATAGATCCTGGTGCCACTCATTCCTTCGTTAACCCTAATTTCATGTGTGGCATTGATATAAAACCTGCTAGTTTACCATACGACCTAGAAGTTTGTACACCTACGGGGAATCAACGTTTGGTTACTAGTATGGTTTATAAGAATTGTGAAATGTGGATAGGAGAAAGGAGATTGTTAGGGGACTTGATTATCCTGTCCATCAAGGGGTATGATGTGATTCTGGGCATGGATTGGCTAGCTAGATATAATGCCCAACTAGACTGCAAAATGAAGGTGGTAGAGTTTCGCATTCCTGGGGAGGCGACTCTAAGGTTAGATATAAGGGGAAGGTTAGCCTCCTCTGCCATGATCTCGGACATTCGGGCTAGAAAACTGTTAAATAGAGGGGCGCAGGGTTTTTTAGACTTTCCAATCAACACCCCCATGGATAAGTTGAAGGTAGAGGACGTGGCCATAGTAAGGGAATATCCGAACGTGTTTCCTGATGAGTTAGTATCATTGCCTCCGTAGAGAGAGATAGAATTTAAGATTGACCTGCTACCGGGAACCTCGCCTATCTCAAAAACTTCATACCAAATGGCCCTGGCGGAGCTTAAAGAACTAAAATTGCAATTACATGATCTTTTGGAATGAGAATTCATTCACGAGAGTGGGTCTCCTTGGGGAGCTCCTGTCCTGTTTGTGAAGAAAAAGGACGGTAGTTTAAGGATGTGTATTGATTACAGGGGTCTGAACAACGTCACAGTTAAGAATAAGTATCCGCTACCCCATATTGATGAGTTGTTTGACCAGTTGCAAGGAGCAGTGGTCTTCTCGAAACTAGACCTCCGCCAAGGGTATTACCAGTTATTGATTAGAAAAGAGGATATTCCAAAAACCGCTTTCAATTCGAGATACGGGCATTATGAGTTCGCGGTTATGCGCTTCGGACTGAACAACGCCCCAGCCGCCTTCATGGACTTAATGCATAGGGTTTTCAAGCCCTACTTGGATCGATTTGTTGTGGTCTTCATCGACGACATCCTGGTTTACTCCAAAATGCATGAGGA